TATTAGATATAATTCAAACTCAGGTCACATTTGGGAGCCTTTTACACGGTACAAACCTCTTTATAAGATTTTAAAGTATATTTGTAGAATTAGTATATACTTATGGAGAGCTGTTTTCAGCTTTTCAATGGTATAGATGATTATCAAGAGTGGTCCAGCACAGAGTTTGGGCTGGGCCACATTCTTGAGAGCCCAGCATGTACTTTGGACTGGGCTGCATTCTTTTAGGCCGGCTTTAGCTACAGTTAGTGTAAGGTCTTTTTTCTACCTATTATAGAAATTGAATTTATTTTATTCATAGAAGGTATTGTAGAATAGGTCATACTACGTCAAGGAATCATGTTAGTTCAAGCATAATCAATCATGATGTTTTTAGGTTGAATAAGAATATAGTTAACTTTAGAAATTTCATTGTCTCCATTTTCTACTATCGTGGTTTTGGCTTTAGTACATTTACAGTTTATATTTGAAAGCTTTACTGCTGCTAATCAGCTTTATATATTAGAATTAAGAATTGAACAACTTTCATAGAAATTAGGGTAGATATATAGGACTTTGGAATAGCCATTTGTTAAGAGATTGTAGTCTATTGTTCCAAAAGATGGCCCACCGTGGACCTTGGACTGGGCCACATCCTGTAGGGCCCAGTGTGATCTTTGGACTGGGCTACATTCTTTAGAAAATTGGCTTAAGCTATAATTAAGAGCTTCCGTAGCATTGTGTAAGTAGTAAAGTTTAAGATAGTCATCATGGGTTTTGTGTGAGCTCTAGAAGTTATTGATTATCAGAGCATCATTAGGCTAGTAAGGATTGTTACACTGCTTTTGAAGAACATTAACTAGCAAAGGGAACAGTGAGACAATCTTGGGGTTTGTTCCTCCTTACACCTAAGCATCTGGTGGGTGGGGGATGCCCCCCCGCACCTGGCTTTGTGTTCACGTGAAAGACTTGTGAGACTGCCTGTGTAAAATTTGGGGATAAATACCTGCTGTAACTTTCAATAAACGGCTTCTGCTCATTTCACTGAACAGTTATCCACTTTCTTTCTCTTTCTTCTTCTTTATATCTATCCTTCCATCTTTCTTTTTTTTAACATCTATCCCTACAGATTCGCTGACACCACCACATCTTTCAAGGAACTCCCCAAAACTTGCAGGGGCTGGCCTCCCGCAAAATGCCACAAGTTCTTACTGTTTTAGGAACACTTAATAGCTTCCTTTGTGTAAATGTTTGTTTACTTGATGACGGTGTTGAGAACAGTTCCTAGTGTGTTTTATTTATTTTTAAAATTTACTTAATTTTTTTAAGTGGTAGGTATCTCACTACATTGCTTCAACTGGCCTGGAATTTCTGAACTCAAGCAATCCTCCTGCCTCAGCTTCCAAGTAGCTGGGACTAGACATGTACCACTATCCCTGGCTTCTCCCAATTTGTTTAAATTGTTGTTTTAAGAAATAATTTGCACTGTTTATTCTTGTTACATTTTTCTTGTTGCTAATCAGAAAATGCATGGGTTAATGTCTTCTAAAATTTCTTTCTTTTCTCTTGTCTTAAATACTTGCTGCTTCAGCACCCGTCTTCATACCCTGTCATTTTTGGCTTTGTTAAAATGTCCCTTTGTTTTGTAGTTGTTTGTAATATAGCCCACTTATTTCTCATCTAATTGACCCAAAAATCCAACCAAACATCTAAAATGATGACCATGATATAACCTAATGTCAATCTATTGATGATTATTATATTATTATAATTTATTGATTATTATGATTCAAAGTAGTAAAACAATTTTCCTCCTTCATGTGTGTTTCCTTAACTTCTGCAGAGAAGTCTAAGAAATTATGTTTATGGACATTAACAGAGATATAGTTCCACAGGCTTTATTCCACTCTCATTTCTGGACTGCTGGTTGAGTTCCCTGCTACCTCTGGACTTCGTATTTTCTATCATCACCCCTAACTTCCTACAGGCATATGAGTAATAAATTTCTTCTATTTTATGTACTTAGTCTTACTCTTTGTTTCATTGTATCTTATCTGACACATACCTCTTAAGCTAACTCTTCCCTCCCAATCATCAGAGCTCTCCAGGGTCTTGATTTATGGCTACTTTAAAGGGAGACACTTCAATGTCAAATTAATAAAAAGAAAAACAGAAAACACTATATTTAATATTTCTGACTATGTTAAATAACAGAGTAATTAGGAAATTAAAATTAAATTGTACACATCAGAGAATTGCTATTTAAGAAAAAATAGGACATGGGAGAGGTAAAAAATAAATAAAAAATAAAACACTTGGTTGAAGTTATATATAACTGTTTGTTCTTTTTTCCTTTTTTTTAATTGATTACCTAATAGTCTATAGAATGAGCCTAACACATAAAGCCAGGTTGTATATATTATGCAATTATATGAACACCAGAGTTATTGAGGATTTTTTCAATTTGTTTAACGATAATAGTATAAATTGTATTTTGCTATATATGCAGCTATTTTTGGTGCTTTGCCACATAAATTGTTTTTTTCTTTTCTACACCCCATAAAGTAGTAATGCTGTAACCATAATTGCCATTTTATTGGTGAGAACGCTGAGGCACAGAAAGTTCAAGTAGCATGTCCAATGTCACATCACTCTATCATGATTTTTCAGGAACTTGAGTCAAAACCATCTGGGTCCAAAGCGCCAGCTCTCAGCCACCACATTATGCTGACTCTTCTATCTTCATTACAATTATTTTCAAAATGTAATGCATACAAGTTTCCATTCATTAGCTAACTATTAATTGTAATTTTATTACAAATGTGTGATTTAAAATATGTAGAAATAATGTTTTAGTTATATATCATTGCATAGCAAATTGTCCTCAAATGTAGGGCTTGTGAACAACAATAATCATTTGACTATTGTCTTTCTGAGTTTCTATGTTGGCTTGGATCAGTTATATACTTCTTCCTCAGTTTCTAAGGTGGTTATCTTCCTATATTGCCTGGGTCTATATTTAACTGAAGATAATTCACTCACAAACCTGTCGATTGGTATAAAATGACTCAAACTGCTGGTGACATGGTACTACCAGAATTTCTTAGGCGTATATTTGTGTCTAGCCATCAAATCAACTTTCATTACGGAGACTGCAGGTATGGCACAGGGTCCTACTGCAGGTATGGCACAGGGTCCTAAATTTTCAAAAACACTGTTTTATGTTTATTCAAAGATATTTTATTTATTTATTTATTTAAGTTGGAGTCTCACTCTGTTGCCTAGGTTGAAGTGCAGGGGCATGCTCACGGCCACTCCTACGTCAACTTGCTGGGTTCAGGCGATCCTTCCATCTCAGCCTTCAAGTAACCGGAAATACAGGCTTGCACTACCACGCCAAGCTAATTTTTTGATTTATGTAGAAACAAAGTTTCACCATGTTGCCCAGGCTGATCTCCAACTCGTGGGCTCAGGCAATCCTGTCATCTTGGCTCCACAAAGTGCTGAGATTCCAGGCTTGAGTTACCACACCAGGCCCCAAGATATTTTAAATATGAGTTTAAAGAAATTTTATTTAATTATTTTCCACAGAATTTATACAATCTTTGCAGGTTTTTTTTTTTTTTTGCATTGTTTCAGATTATAGTGTATCATGATGTGCTTTGGTTAAAAATAAAATGATAACTATGTTAGTTTCAGTCATGTCTATGAATTTAATGTTTCTATATCAAGGTTATGAGAGGGCTAGAGCAGGCTTTGATGGAAAGAGAAAAAAATTCGACATGATTACCTAAATGTGGCTATAAAGAATAATAATAATTACTTCCAACTATCTTCAACGAAAATATTGAATTGCACAACATATCTGTTAGGTACTTAAGTGATACTGTATCTTATTTTAAGGAAATGGACATATATGTAAACATACATGTATATTAATTGGGAATGAAATTATGCTAAATCCCTTTAGAGTACAGTTCCTGTATTATCATAACTTAAAATTGAGATCATATATCTGTTATCAAAGGTTGAAAATGATAATAAAGCTATTCTGATAAACCTTTTTTTTTTTTTTTTTTAGTTGGAGTCTCACTCTGTCACCCAGACTGGAGTTCAGTGGCACGCTCCTGGCCACCACAACCTCGACCTGCTGGGCTCCAGCAATCCTTCTGCCTGAGCCTTTTATTGTGGAAATGAGGTCTCACCAAGTTGCCCAGGCAGGTCTTGAACTTGCAGGCTCAGACAATCCACTCACCTCGGTCTCCCAAAGTGCTGGGATCACAGGCTGAGCCATGGAGCCCGGCCTCTGATAAATCTTTTTAATTGTCCTTAAAGGAAGAAAGCTGATTTGTGAAACCAAAGACTAAGTGAAATAGTTCAGTTTTGCAATAAAAAGCAGATAGGAGTCGCTATAGTTCTAATTACACATATATTCCACTGAGACCCAAGAAGGTGTGTGTCTTTCCACATCTTTTAGGAAATATTTGACACTGAGTCTAGAGGCGTCATAAAGGTCAAGCAGCACTAGTGGTCTCACTTTATCAAAAGGAAGATTGAGACGTTTCCCACAATTTAATTTTTAAACAATTTCTTCAGCGACAATTAAAACAACAAAATTCTGTTCAAAATAAAGCCAAAGTGTTTTGAGTATTTGCAAAACGGTATTGGTACTATGTGTGGGCTTCTTCATGTTTTTGTACCCATGGACAAAGTGCAAAATAGTTAAATTCATATAAAATTTTTTATATTATTTGTGAATTTGAATAATAAATTTCAATATAAACCCATGTGGTTTCATATTATTTTAATTTTTTCTAATGTTTAAGTCTTTGACATGGAATATTTCTAACATTTAAATAGGTACTAAATCTCTGGAAAACAAATTTTGGACCCAATGGGGTGAGTTGTGAAAGATATTCTGTCACAGAAGAAAGGGAATCCAACATCACAACCTCTTCTTGCTGAAATATTCCAGAAGTGTTACATACACCAGGCATCCTAGCTTTAGGCCTCTGATACAATTAATCCTTTTTCCCCTTCCTCTCTGTTTTAGCAAATTTCTGGAAAAAAAACAAGCAACATTTTGTGACGGTGAAGATCACAGTAGCCACACAGGCCAGCAGGAACCCAATCACATCCAAAGAGTAGTACTGAAACCAGTTGAGGTCGTGGGCTGCAACCCGAAGATGTTTGGCTCCTTTGTGGCGCATGACAAACTCGATCCAGAACGCTGCTCGATCCAGGGGCTTCATTGGCTGATCATGTTGAATTTCTGACAATTTCATAGCATTCTCTTTATATCTGAAGGAGAAACAGAAAGATATAAAGACTGAAAGGGATTTAATTTGTCCAAGCATATGCCAAGTTCTTGAAAGATTTCTGAAAGGTGTCACACAAATGATTCAATGTAAATGTCAAAGAATTGATTTAGTGTATTTTAATTTGGGTCATCACAGAAAGTTCGATTTTTAAATTGGAGCTTTATCATTGACAAAGTTTACCATTGTTTGTAAAGATCGAGAGGAGCTAATTTCTTTCTTGAAGAGGAAATATGAGCCATCCTAAGCACTGTAAGAAAGATAGTAAAAATGCAATTTGACAATGATCATCCTTAAGTTTTTAAGGAGTTGTATTATGGTGGGTGATGTCTCTTAATCAGTCTCTCTGCTTGTACTCTTCTCTTCTGTCTCTACAGTCTATTTCCCAACTAGTAGCAAGAATGATATTTTTGAAGTAAAAGGCAGTATATGACAACTTTCAGATTGAGTTTTTAATTATAGCTTCTTATTGCCTTTACAATAAATTCGAAATTTGTTTTTTGATCTACAGGACCCTTCTTGGTCAAACACTGGCAACCTCTTCTGATACATTCCTCCTGCACACTGTCTTCTGGAGATATTTTCTTCTAGAGATGTTGATATTTTGACCTTAGCACCTTTACACTTTTTGTCCTTCTTTTCCTCTTTTGAAGCCTTTCTCACAACAATCCATGGCTTGCTTCTATCTTTTATTGAGCTTTCCCCTTAAATAGTACCTCTCAGACTGAATTTTCTTGGGCACATTAAGATAACACTCCTAGAATTGTCTTTATTGTTTTGTGCTTATTTTACTATTTGATTACTAGGATTTTAGAATGTTCTACATGCTTCTTAAATGAACAGCTTAAATACAGAAGGTAAATGTCATATACTAAGTGAATAATAGTTCAACCACTTTTGATTATCTTGAACATTATTCTGAAGTGAAGACACCAATTTACCTACTGCCTGGATTGTAGAATATCACAACCCACCTTGAATAACTATCCTCTTAGACCATTTTAGTCACTACTTTTGTCCTCAATTAAGTATTGTCCTGACATAGAACATTATAGAGGAGTTTTGGTTGTTTATATAATTGAATTATATATTAGGTACTCATTTGTGTCTGTTTTTTGTGTAGCAGTTGCTGGTTAATTTCATTGTTATGCAGTATTCCATTGATTGACAATACCACAGATTATTTTTTTATTTTATGATCAATGGGTTGTTAACAACTTTGGACACTACTAACAATTCTGTTATAAGCATTCCTGAATACAGCATTAGTTTACATGTTTATTCATTTTTTTTACATTGGATGTTTAATTGGGAGTAGAATTCCTGAGATACAATTTCATAAATAGTTTGATTTCCTTTTGGATAAAATTTTGTAAAAGTGCATTTTTTAATTTCTAAAATTGAGAAACTTTTAACTTTTTTATGATTTTTAGCTTATTTCCATTATGGTTGGTTGGACTATGTACATTTCTTATATAGAATCTTTTTATATTTAGTGAGTCTTCATTTATGGCCTATGATATGTCAATTCAAGTAATTATTCCACAGGTTCTAGTAAATTACATATTCCAAGTTGAGATAATATATACACACGGTTACATTTACTATTTGTATACTTAAGATATTTCATATTTTTCTTCATTATTTTTTAAAGTATGTTTAGATTTAATGTTTGTGCTAGTATATTCAAATTTAAATTTACCATCTTATTTTATATATTTTTTTCTATTTTTCCAAACTCTTTTTCTTCAGTGTTTTCCCCTCTTTCTTAAAAGTATGTTTATCATTTGTTTTTCAACTATTTTCTTCTTAATGAAGTATTTTAAAAATATTTCTTTATGTGATACACTCTTCATATAATAATATTATTGGTAGAAGAAATAAATGCTGAATTAATGGTACCTAGATCAGGCATGGCATTTTCTACATGTTTTATTTGGAATATGAAAAAATTAATTATTCAATATATCTTTTATCAAAATTAAGACATTTTTACTTCAAAGAGAATCATCAAAAATGTAAAAAAAAAAAAAAATCAATCCTTTCAGAATGGGAGAAAATATTTGAAAACTACACATCTGATAAGGGATTGCATTTATAATATATAAAGAATTCTTACAACTCAACATTGAGACAAGTAACAAAGTTTAAAAATGTCCAATGGTTGGGACAGAAATTTTTCCAGGAAGGTTTATAAATATCCAGTAAGTACATGTAAAGATATACAACATTTCACACCCACTAAGCAGCTATACTGAAAAGACAAATGGCAACAACTGTTGGCAGCTGTGTGGAGGAACTGGAATCCTTCTGTACTGTTGATGGTAATGAAAAATGGTATAAGTACCTTGGAAAACAATTCACGAATTCTTAAGCATAAAGTTTCCATATTAGCCAGCAATTCCACTGTATAGCAATGTTTCTAGTAGTCACAACTGGAAACAACCCTAATGCCAATGAGTTGATAAATTTACAAATAAAATATGGTATATCCATGTTATAAAAATATTATACAGCAGTAAAAAAAATAGTAATACACACAACCACTTGAATAAAATTGAAACTGTTTAAATAAACAAAAAGAAAACTGCTCAGTAAAAGAAGTCATCTACAAAACATTGCAAATTACATGAGTCCATTTATATGAAATATCCAGGAAGAATACTCTAGGAAAGTACATTGGTGTTTTCTGAGGATTAATGGCTTATGGGAAGTGACTTCTGTGCTATATGAGGTTACTTTTGTGCTGATAAAAGTGTCCTCAAATTATGTTAGGGTGGTGGCTTCAAGACTGTGTAAGCATACTAAATATATTTGGAGTCTGCACTTCTAATAGGTAAATTTTAGACTGTGCAACTTATATCTCATTTTCAAATTTATTAAAATAAAAAATAAATTTTCAAACAAGAAAACACATTTTCAGATATTTAATTGAAATATTGTATCATATTTCTTCAAGGGCATTCTTTTTACTGTGAATTATGTCATTTTTTAATGTGTCTTTTATGCTATCTATATATACCTTAAAACTATTCATGTATAGAAATTGTTACATCAATTGGTTACCCATTGAATGTATAGTGTTCAAATGTAACTTTGAAATGACTAATCAAAAGTGAAAACCACTTTTAGATTGATTAAATCATTATATTTTTTCAGAAATTATCTCTTAAAAAAGGGATGAGAACTACACTGAGATATCACCTAACTCTAATCAGGATGGCTATCATCAGTAACTCAAAAAAACCCAAAAAACAAAAAACAGATGCTGGAGAGGATGTGGCGAAAAGGGAACACTTCTACACTGTTGGTGAGAGTATAAACTAATATAATAGCCTCTGTGGAAATCAGTGTGGCTATTCCTAAAAGTTCTAAAAATCGACTTTCCATATGATCTCACAATCCCCCTACTGGGAATATACCTGGAAGAACTAAAATCACTCTATAAAAAAGATACCTGCAAACACATATGTTTATCGCAGCATTGTTCACAGTAGCAAGAACATGGAACCAACTGTGTTGCCCATCCAAAGGGAACTGGATAAAAAAAATGTGGTACATATACATGACGAAATATTACATAGTCATAAAGAAGAACAACATCATAAACTTCACAGCAACCTGGATGGACTTAGAGTCTATAATACTGAGTGATGTATCACAGAAACAAAGAACTAAGTATCACATGTTCTCACTCATAAGCAGACCTTGAACAATTATCATAATGCTGTAAGGAAAGGCTTGGCGGTAGAGGGAAACTGCCAAGAGGTGTGTGGGGAAGCAGGATTGGCAGTAGTGGGAAACTGCCTGGGGATGGGGTGGCACACCTCATCAACAAGGATACTTTCATAATGAACATTTGTATACCTAATCCTGAAGTGTACCCCACATCTTTAAAAAAATGTAATAGAAATAAAAAATAATTATAAATAAAAAGGGATTAAACTAATACTATCAACAGAAGGAACAATATAAATACCACCCAGTAAAAAAAAGAAAAATTATACTCACAAAGGATTATGAATTACTGTCTTCACTGCATTGAGCAAATCTGTACTTGACATTGTGTGGTAGTCCAAGCTAATGGCTACTCCCTTGGTCTTCATGTGAGCCATGTTATCAGGTTGATCCGCAAACAGAGGAAGCCCCACCATAGGGATTCCATGATAGATTGCCTCATAGATGCCATTGGTTCCACCGTGGGTTATAAACGCTTTAGTTTTTGGATGACCTAGAAGTGGATGAATTTTAGCAAAATTTTTCAGAGAAATAAAATGAAAATACCCAATGGAGAGCTTTGAAAGGAGGAGTGTTTACTAGAAAACAGATTATTATACACATCAAACTTTATTGAAATTGCCTTCAGATGCAGTAGGCAGAAAAACTGCTTCTGCTGAAGAGGTAAGTGAAGGCTACATGGAAGAGGTGGTGTGTGACTTCAGACTGGAAAAATAAACACAAGATTACCAGGTACAAAAAGTGAAAAAACACGTTGTGTATAAAAAAGAAATACAATGTGCAAAAAAGAAGAAGAAAAAAAAGACGGCATGTATGAACACATTCTCTAGAGAAACCATACAGTCACTGGGTCTGATACATAGGGAATTTAGGGCAACAGGGAGTGGGATTGTGGGGGTGCCAGAATCAGAGGAAGGGCAGGTCACACTTCATCATGAAACATGTTACCACCTCATTGGGGATTTATGACCAAGGAAATGCAGAGTCACTGGTGATTGAAGAAAAAACTGCTACTTTTAGTGTCATTTGAAACAATTTGTCAGGTAGGGTAGGGACTGGTGTAAAGTTGTAGAAATAGGAGACAGAGTGCCAATCCAGGAAGCTATTGTAATATTCTCTGTGAGAGGTAATCATATCAATAAAGATACTATGATTTTGGCCATTAAGAAAAAAAAGTGTGTTTATATTAAAATACTATTAAATTTATCTTCTTTTCCCTAGGAATGGAATGTAAATATAAAGTATTTAGGTTTTATTTTTGGAGTTTTTGAATAATACATGTTCAGTAACCTTGTTTCATGTTGAAGTATTACCATTCTAACTGGCTGTCACTCACATATTCAGCATTTTTTGGAGGGTATCTTACCAAGAAGGTCATTCTGGGGTATCCACTTGTACAGCCGTGTATTGGGACCTAAAGTGTCTGGTTTCTTGCCATTGAATCTCCATAGAACCTGTTAAGGTAAAGAAAGTACCCTGTCCTATGAATGGAACAACAAAATTATAGCATTTTAGAACTCTAAAGAGATTAACAATCATCTAGTTAAACCCATTTCATATAAAAGATAAAAATGTGAACAAAGTAATGAGAACTACTAAAAGTCTGATGTAAATAGAATATCCACATTTTATATCTTTACTTTTATGATCAGCTGGATATATAAGGAAATCATGACCTTTCAAGCATAGTGGTTTAGAAAAATTAGATTATTAATGAAAAAGTGAAGTATTTTTTGAAATGTTAGACATTTATTACAATTCTAGTTAAAAAAGGAATAATTAATAATGCCTATATATTTATTTTGTGTATGTATTCTATAGTTGTTTTCATCTTCCACATTTAATATTAGTCTTTTTGTATCTTTTTGAGTAATTTTGGAAGTAGTGTGCTTATAGCTATTGTATATAAGTTTTTATATTAGAGTTTGACATTTTTGGTCTACTGAAAAGCAAAGTTATGAAATTAACTACTCATAGGAAGTAAATTAATGATGCTTAAGTAACTATATAACTTCTTCTAGATTATGAATAATTAGACACTATTTCCAAGAAAATTTGAAGTGGCAATTTTTAACATGCATCCAGAGTACTATCAGTATTGACAATTTTGGATTTTTTTTTTTTTTTTGCAATGTAGAAAGAAAGAGTCTGCTGTTACCATAAGTCAAAAACCACCGTTGAAAAAATCAAAATTACATTTCGCTAAATTTTGCTCGTTGATCATGAAAACTTAATACACTACAGAGCATTGACAACAGTTATTAAGATATTCTGCTACAGTCAAGGCTTTTTATTTTTAAGGTACTGAGTTTGGAACTTGAAAGCAATCCATATAAACTGAAGTGTAATTTACAGTGTTGAACTTCAATTTCTCATTTGAGTGTTAAAGTATCTTTGCATTGGGCAAAAAATTAGCATAGGTCATTAGAAGAACACTATATCAGATAGGAAACCAAAAAGTAATTCACAAAGATTCCAGATGTATTCTATATATTAGAAAATAAGTTTTTAATATGTATTATTGAGAAGGGTGTCTGAACTTTTCCCCATGCCTGACTTCCTTCTACTGACTGCATTCTGTCTTTCATTCTGTTTTCTGAGTTGGGAGGAGACATTAATCGGATAGAGTCCTTGTGATGCCACAGCTTTATAATGCACAGGGGTGAGATTCCTCTTCACACTTTGTCTTGCATCATTCTGCCTCAGATGTTAGTAAGGTCAGTACAACCCTGAGGCCAGTTTTTCTTTTTCTCTAAATCAGCCTGGCCTAGTAGTTTATGAACCCAGGCTATTTCTTCTTCCTTTTCTTCTCTTCTTCCTTCTTTCTTTTTCCTTCCTTCCTCCCTCCCTCTCTCCCTCCTTCCCTCCCCCCTCTCTCCCTTCTTCCCTCCCTCCCTCTCTCCCTTCCTTCCTTCTTTTCCTGTATAATACCCTGAAGAGTTTATGAATAGACCTATTTCAAAATGTACAAGTATAAGAGGCCAGATTACATGGCAAGTATAAACTGCATGATGAATTTCAAACTTTTTCATTCCTGTTTCTTATTATTTTTCTAGTGCAAATTAAATTGACCGTTAAAATTTAACTCCTTTTTGATAAAATCTGCACTGTGTCTAGTGTCCTCCAGAATCCTGAAGAAAAAATAAAATAAAATGACAGGACAGAATTTGGTGATTTCTATGTGTCTACTTGTAATACTATGATAATATCTAAACCTCACCTACACTTTTAAAAATATATTTCTTTCTGATTGTAATGTTAATGCCAAAGTAATCATCAATCAAAAATGTACTCTGTACTGTTTAAAAATATTTTTTGTATATTTTTGTTTTTAAACCGATATCTAAAATAATTAGAACTATTCTAACAGTTAAACTTTGGGATAGGAAATTTTACAATTTTTTAAATTTTTAAAAATGTCTAAATTTTTAAAAATTTTACAATTGAACTCTTTACAGAGTTTGACAGATGAACTTTGTGGTTTTCTACCACTGAGGCACTTTATCTAACCTTTTGTGGGATCTGGGCAAGGGCTGAAGCAATCACATTGACCCTTTCTTCTGTCATGTCACTGACCATTGACCCCAGAGAAAACACCACAATACCATTTTCTCCAGAGCTCTGGACAAAGTCTTCCATTTCCTGTGAAGAAAGAATTTACTCCATCAGAAAAGAGCAACAGCACAGCAGACACTACTGAAAGGATTGCTATAATCAACTAATGAGAGAAAATCAAGTATTATCAGGAATGATTGTAATGACAACTGTTTTTTTTTTTTAACTAACCCAAACACTCAGTTTCATTGAGGGAAAAAAATGTATAATATGTGATAGATGTTCTCTATTGCAGCTGTTTATATAAATAAGTACATTTTATTGAATATATATTTGTATGTTTGTATAAGGAAAAAATGAAATAGAGCTATTACACAGTAGTTAGTGAAGATAATGCTTGAGAATATGATCAGACCCTGCATTTATAAGATTATGATTACTAATATAGGTTCTTGAAGGTGGAACCACTTAGCTATAGTCCTATTAAATCACTTGTGTGTATCTCAGGCAGATTTTCTATAGATTTCTTTTCATTTGAAGTAATTAATGTTTAATTTTCATGACTATGAGCACTGAGGAAAACTTACTCACAGTTGGGATAATTTTATATATTTTCTATCAATATTGAAACATTTTATATAATTTTATATATTTCATATCAATATTATATATTTGTTCTGTAATCCTTTATGCCTCGCTTAAAGTTGTCAGAGTTCACTAGTCTTTTTTTTTTTAAAGACTCTGGAATTTAAGAATCACATTGTGGCATCTGGTATTGTAGTCTGAAATTTCTGTCAAATAATCCTAAGCGATCCATTTATAATACAGTCTTATAGCATATAGAGCTATGTCATTGAATAATCTTATTTTTTTCATCATTGTTTAGATATGACACCTTTTGTCATTGCTTTTCACATTGTAAATTGGTGTTCAGGCGCAGTGTGCAATTTCTCTCTTCTGTAAGAGAACTCATCATCACTTTGCTGTGTATTACAGGGAGCATTTGCACCACAATGAGAAAAGTTCAGTAGCCCATTCTGCAATGGACATCTCGTCACCCTCTTCAGTTCACTCACGCTCAAGTAAAGATGTACTTGCCAGAAATTGAGAATTATTCTGACATGTAGTCCCCAATCAGGGCCAAATTTTAATTTGAAATAGTTTCAGACTCTAATTTTGTACTAAACCTTTCATGTTTAAACCATTGTTTATAACACACACACATTTTTTTCTAAAATTTGATCATGCAGACCATATATTGTCAAGTATTTTTTCAAAATATAATTTTGACCTTATGACAACAGTTTTAACATGGGAATCATGTACTACTATTTCAGATATTCCATGAGACGCCTAGGTGTGATTCCAGTCACCTCTAACCACATGTAATGTAACTCATGTTCAATGTTTTATTTAACTGACTTACAGCCCAGAGCCTTTTTAATCCACCCAGTGTTGAAGAAATACAACCTTAATATATAGATTCATCACTGAAGTGGAACTGATTGTTTCTCATTCTGTGGCAACTTTATAAAAATAATACAAGAGGGTTCGGTGGCTCAGCCTGTAATCCCGCGCCTTTGGGAGGCTGAGGCGAGTGGATTGCCTGAGCCCGCGGGTTTGAGACCCGCCTGGGCAGGCGAGACCTCATCTCTACAATAAATCAAAAAATTAGCCGGGCGTGGTAGCGCGTGCCTGTAATTCCGGCTGCTCGGAAGGCTGAGGCGGAAGGATCGCCGGAGCCCAGCGGGTCGAGGCTGCGGTGGCCGGGAGCAGCCACTGCACTCCAGTCTGGGCGACAGAGTGAGACTCCAACTCAAAAAAAAAAAAAAAAAATACAAGATGAGTGTAAAAATTTTTATAAAAGAATGAAAAATATTGAAAAGGAAATAAATTTTTATTATTTCTGCCTTAATGGAATTAAATTTAAAATGTGTATGTTTTCATTATGATTTGTATTCTATTTATATAACTCAATGTATATATATGATATTTATTTAGAAAATTTTAACCTTATTATATACGTCTTTTCAACCTACAAAAAATGTTGTGATCTTGTTATATTCATCAATTTGTTCCTTAATTTTCTCCTAAATTTGTATTATGACTGATTATGTTATTAAACTTTTTGATAGACGATTGCAATGGTATGGTAGGCACATAGCATAAGTTTTCAATCACTCCAAAATTTAAGATATTTGATTTATTGCCAATGTTTATTTTGTGAGTATTTTTCATAAATATTGAATCTGCATATCTTGTCTTATTTTTTCTATGCATGGTTTCATATCAGTACATTATGAAGCAAATGGCTGTATGCATTTTTAAAACATTTGATACATTTTTACCAAATCTTCTATTTTAAATATATATACAGAAATTATGCAAGAATCTAATATTTAATTGAAAAACAAGTAACTTGAGGTAGAAATTACTTTATATAATAAAGTATTCGAGAACAGGTTTCATAAATCTTGACTTGGATTCAAATCCTTCTGCAAGTTGATAACAACACCCAGTGTTAGTAACTATCACTATTGTACTAGTGGTCATCTTGATTTTTGTCCTCATTCTCCTTATGTTCTCTTCTTCCACCTCCTGGCACTATCATCTTCCTTTGTATGTAAGTGAGGAAATCATTTAAGGATAGAATTTGACCGCCTATAATTTCTATTAGCCTTATCTTAACTTTTTTCCCTTGAGAAAGTTCTATATGGAGTCTATACAGTTTGTACTCAACATAGATACTGGTTTTAACCATTAAATAAGATTTCAGTGTTATGATGTAGGTAATAGGAAGGTAGACAAACATGATCTAATGACAGATTATATAATAATGTAGTAAAAATGATATTTATTATTTAAAATTGAGCATTTATTCTTCCATGTTTAAATTTCAGTCACCTTTAAAGTATCCTTCATTTGATGCAATACACCTACCAAGACATTTTTTTTCAGGGTTCAAAACAGGTTTTGAACTTGTTCATTTTGATGCCTTTGAGTGCTTCTGCCATTTTTTGCTTCACCTCTTCCACAATGGTAAAACATTTCCTTTGAGAACTTTTTTCATCCAAGAGAACAAGAAAAAGTTGTTCCGGGTGAGATTAGGTGGTAAGCGAGGTGGGGGCATGGGCGTCATGCCATTCTTTGGTCAAAAACTGCTGAACACTCAATATTGTGCGGACAGGTTCATAGTCAGGGTAGAAGAACTAATCACCTGTTGCCACAATTCAGGACATTTCTTCTGCAACACAGCCTTGCACAATAATGCTAGCTAGTACACTGATGCTGATGGATTCCTAGAAAATTAACTAATGGGGGAAGCCTGTACTACAAGGGACCTGCCCTCTGAAACAATTTTGGTTTTTTAGAGTCCTCCCCTGTATGTCTTAAAAGCGTGATTTTAATTTACAATATATTAGGTTCTTATGATCATTTATAAGAAATATTCTACATGCTGACAAAATTATTTAGTTATTATAATAAGGGCATTCTTAGATAAACATGGTAGAAATTATTTCATCTAATTTATACATTAACTGTTAATTTTCTTTGCGTTTCTCTGTCAGGATACTACAATATTGAGACACAATTTCCCCAAAAGAACTTTACTGAGGTGAATTATACCCTTGGAATAAGGTAGAAAATACCTATTTAATAGACTAAACTATCCCTTTTATGTTCTAAGATGTAAACTTCTGGGTTTTCAGTGAAGAAGAGTTTAAATATTTGAGTAAAATCAAGTAAACATTTGGTTTGGCAGTCAATACTGTAAGGGCCATGCATTTATATTATTAAGGAATTGTTTTCATTTAAGCTAGAATATTGATGAAGATCCACTGATTAATTATCAGTGATTCCACGATACTTTCTATTCCTACTGGAAGCTTTTTGGACATTGCTATCTTTTCTTAAGAGAATGTTTTCCACACAATTTTTATTACTTGCTTTCATCCTGTTTTTCACAGGAGAATGTAAAGTGTGTGGGGACAGAACTTGTGTCTATTCTGTTTCTCTGAATATCCATCACTTACATGTGTCACATGGTAATAATCACTTTATAAATTTTCTTTGAGTGACAGTGAAGCTTTCTCATATGTGGCATAATTAATGCTTAAATTTAAGCAACCTGTTGTCAAAGTATCCTTAGTATGGCTCTTTATACTGTAATGACAACAAAACTTATATGCTTGTGATAATATAAAAATATGTTACTCAATTTTATCTGCTTTACCCCACTCACTTTCCATCATTCTTTCATTGTAAGCCAAACACTAGGAATTAAGAATATAAAATTATTCCCACTAAACAGTCAAACAAAACAAAACAAAGCAAATAGAAATATGTTTACCTTAGACAGGGCTTTGGCAGGTTTGCAGTGGAGTCCTCCAACAAAATCAAAATTTGGTAAGAGAGGGCGAGGATATTCAAAATCCCAATAGGTTCGAATGGGCCACATTTCAGCTTTCCCCATTGTCTCCAATAATGTAGTGGGTCTTCCTGATGGAAAAAAAGAAAATAAAAGGTAGATGATACAAGAAAATTGACATGTGAATGTACCAGGAGTTTTCTGAAAGGAGTCAAAATAATGGAGCCAAAGATGTTTACAGTGTTTGCAATTTGATAAAACAATATACATATATTTATACAAAGATATAATTTTATTTTCATATATTATATATTGATCATGAGTATTTGTAAGAAGGGCAAAGCATTAAGAGAATTTTGAGAGGAAACTACATCTCTTACATCATGTCAGTAGATTCATAGTCACAAATAATTATTGAAATCAGCCATAGGGAATTTAAAATGTATTTGTTTATACTCTCTAAAGCTGCAACAATAATAGATATGCATTTAAACAACTCTTTGACCTCCATTCTCAATTAATACTACTGCTCTGATAAAGACAGTTTTCTAAGAAGTACCTACTCTAGTTTGCACAATTTATTCAGCTAGTCCCTTGATCATTGGTTCTTCAAGCAAAAAGTATTATGAGAGTATGAGTAAAACCATTGTACTACTTGGTTTATGTTATGGTTCGATAATATGAGTTTTTAAGTACACATTTTCAATGACAGTTTGAAAATTTTTAGATATTATTGAAATAAATATTACTGCTCAGTTTTAATGTGGTTTACATTTCTTAATGAAAAGACATAGTTTAAAGAAAATATATAAAAAAGGAAACTGATGCTCACATTACAAGATTTTCAGTCTTAAGTCAAATGATCTCTAAGCCTTTAGAGAAGAAGTAAAAAAGCACTAGAAACCTCAAATCACCTCTATTGGTTTTTGTGTGGGGGATCCAGGCATTATATTTCTCATTTGTGAAGAAAACATTCCAGTAATGTAGGAAAATATTTCTTTTCTAAATAAGAAAACTGAGGTATGAAGGGGAAAACAATTTCTTCAATGATATATAGATAATTGTGCTAGAAAAATGTGTAACCCCTCAATCTACATGTGTCCTTGTGGCAAGATGTCTTTTGATGTATCTAATAACTTTTTTAAAAAGAACACAAAAAATGTGTAGTAAAATGGATGTGTGATTGCTTAAAGAAATATCAAATACCATAATGTACAATTTTGTGACTTCCTAGAATGTTTTGCATGACTGATGGACACAGGGTTCAAACTGACCTTATCATGTAAATCTTCCCATAATATTTGAGACTGATAAATCATCTAATATTTTTATTTCATCATTTTACTTCCAAAGAAAGAATTACCTTCCTCTGATTTTATACAAACTCACCTTCAAAGACACAACAAAGTTAGAGCTTCATGCACCAAGAGAAAAGATGACTTACCTAGTACTTCACTGTAAAACTGATCCCATTTCATCATGTCAAAAGTTTGAAACCAAAAGCCAAAATAAAGCACATATATCATATTTTTTATCCTCTCCATGAATGTCATTTGATCACTTAATTCTGACAGAATAATAGGTACATAGGAAGGAGGGAACAGAAGTCCTCCACCATACTTCTCAAGTACGTAGCCAGGAGAGAAGCGAAGACTGTACACAAAGGGTATTTTAAGTAGTTCAGCCAGCAGTTCACCACCGGGACCAATGGTATCTGCAAGAAGGACATCAAACCTTGCTTCTTGTAGTTTTCTCATGAGTTTCTTATTTAAAACTGTATCTTCACAGAGCTTTTTAAATACATTAGAAAAATCCCACATGATTTCTTGTACTTGTGAAAAAAATGACCAAAATGTGTCTTTTGGAGCATGTGTCCACAAATTGATCACTCTCGTGATAGTATTCTTATAATCATTTTTAGTTAGTGAGGTAGGATAAACTTCAAATTTAATAGTGGATGATTTGTTGGGATCAACAAGAATGGAAATTGAAGAAGCCAATACAGTCACCTCATGACCTCTCTGGACGAGTTCATCCAGGATTGTCTTCATATTCAACCAATGGCTGTATTCTGTGGGCCACACCAGAACCTTTCCACAACTCCCAGAGCTAAAGTAACAACTCAGCTGTATCAGCAGAGGAACTGAGACCCATTTCATAGACATCCTGGTGTGACACAATGCTCCTTTTCCAATTGCTGTTTCATTCTGCCATTCCTCATGCTTATATCTAAGGATAAATCAATTAAGAAGTTAAAACATAACCTGTACACTTCAGAGTAAATACATTGTATTAATAGTTTGAGCATGTGGATGACAAGAAGATAGAAAAAAGGTAGATGACCTCCTGTTTACTCAAGTATGTTTAATGTCTCTTTTATGTTTGTAAGTGCTATCATTTGGCCAACACCAAAGGTCTTGCATGGCCAAGGCACCTGTATTTTGTAACATACTTTAGAATAGTGTCAACAACAGTGACAGTGGGAAGTTCCTGATTCAATGAATCGATTCTGTGACTGCCATAGGTGTGACACAGAAGTAAAGAAAAACAAGAATCAGCGTTTCTTGAAAATCATGGGTCAAGAAATTTTATTTTAAAAAAGTTATTGACTTATTCATATATCAAAAAATCTACCAAATATTGTGTAAAATTCATGTCACATATTATATTCACAACATTGTGCGTCTACCACAAAAATCAGTTTTAGGGCATTTTTATCTTTCCAATAGAAAGATATTGCATCGTTTTTTTTCTTCCTACCCCGGTTTCTACATTTCTCCTATCCTGGACAACTACTAATTAAATTTCTATATAGATTTGCCTATCTGGTCATTTTTAAATAAATGCAATCACTTTCTATGTGGTCTATTATGATTGACTTCTTTCACTTTAAATATTATTTTAAAGGATTAATTATGGTATTGCATAATTAAAGAATTTCATTCATATGAACTTCATAAGAACTTCATTCCTTCTTATTACTAAATAAAATTTTATAGTATGAATATGCACATTTTATTTATTTATTCATCATTGATGAACATTGATTTTTTTTCAATTTTGGCTAGTATGAATAGCAATGCTCATACACATTTGTATACAAACTTTGGGTACATATGTCTTTATTTCTCTTGGGTATATACACTCAGAAGTAGGATTGCTGAGTCATATTCGATTCTATGTTCAACTATAATATGTTAAACTCTACACGCAACATTTTAGGAATAGCTAGACTGTTTTTCGAAGTGACTGCACCATTTTCTATTCAAAACAGCAATGTATGAGGATTTCAATATCTCCATATAATTACTGACTCATTATTACTTGTCTTCTTAAATTATTGGCAAGCTAGTGCAAGTGATGATATATCTCATTATGGCTTACCTTTCCTTGACAACTAATGATACTGAGCATTTTTTATGTTCTTATTAGCCATTGTATATTCACATGCTTTGCCCACTTTTGGTTGGAATATTTTTCTTATCATAGAGTTATGTTTTTTATACATTTTTAGTGCAAGTTCTTCATTAGACATATGATTTGCATATATATTCTCAAATTATGTAGGTCTACTTTTCACTTTTTTGGTGGAATTCTTTGAAACACAAAAAAATTGATAAGGCCCAATTTATACATTTTTAATTTGATTGCTTATGCTTTTGGTGTCATATCTAAGAAACCACCGACAAATCCAAAGTCACAAAGAGTAGGACTTTTGTTTCTTTTTGGAGTTTTATAGGAATATGCATTATATCAGAGCTTTTGATCCATTGTGAGTTAGGTTTTGTAAGTGGCTTGAGGTAAGGAGACCAACTTTATTATTTTGCATGTGTGTAATCAGTTATCCAGCCAGCATTTGTTCAATTCCTCCCATTGAATTGTTTTGGCACCTTTGTCAAAAACCATAATTGTGTATGTATGTTTCTGGATTCCAAAATCTGTTTCATGGATATATATGTCTACCTGTTTGCCTGTACTACACTCTTAATTATTGGAGAGTTAAACTTGGCTCTGGGAGCAGAAAGTGTAAGTCTTTCAAAAGCATTTCTTTTTTTTAGATTGGAAAATATAGTCTATTTAGAAACTAAATTAGAGAGAGGAGAGAGAAGATTCACCTCCCAAAGCTAAGGGAGGAGACCAAAGCCCCAAAAGCATTTCTTATTTTACGATTGTTTTGAATATTTTAGGTTTTTTTCATATCTATGTAAATTTTAGGATTTGTTTTTCAATTTATATAAAGAAGGTAGTTGGGATTTTGATAGGAATTGTGTGGAATACGTATACCATTTTGGGGAGTCAAATAATGCAATAGAAATTTGGCAGGACTAGTTTCCCAAGACAGAAGTTAGAAGATCTGAATCTAAGATCCTGAAATAGTGGGGTGTGGGGAGAAGAATGGTGAAGCCAGCCAAGTTCAACTAAGTCCAAGCTAGTGTTGAAAGCAACTTCTGCTTGCCCTTTTTATTCATTATATACAATTTTGGCTGCCTGCATAGAAACACCTTAGTAATCACTAGTCATCAAGGAGATGCAAATTAAAACTACACTGAGATACCACCTAATTCTAGTCAGAATGGCCATCATCAATAACTCAAAAAATAACAGATACTGGAAAGGATGTGGTGAAAAGGAAACACTTCTACACTGTTAGTGGGTGTTTAAACTAGTACAGCCTCTGTGGAAATCAGTGTGGCGATTCCTAAAATTTCTAAAAATCGACCTTCATAGGACCTCACAATCTCTTACTGGGAATATACCCGGAAGAACTAAAATCATTCTATAAAAAAGATACCTGCTCATGTATGTTTATTGCAGCCTTGTTCACAATAGCAAGAACATGGAGCCAACCACGTTGCCCATCAAAAGAGGACTGGATAAAAAAAATGTGGTACATATACACTATGCAATATTTTGCAGCCATAGAGAAAAACAAAATCATGAACTTCACAGATACCTGGATGGAATTAGAGTCTATAATACTGAGTGATCTTTCACAGAAACAGAGAACTGAGAATCACATATTCTCACTCATATGTGGTCCATGAACAACTACCGTAATACTATAAGTAAAGGATTGGCAGTTATGGGAAACTGTAGGGGGTGGGGGCAGGGAGGTGGGAGTGACAGTAGTTGAAACCTGCCTGGGGGGGCACACCTCATCATCAAGGGTACCTGCACAATGAATGTTTGAGTACCCAACCCTGAGTTGTACCCCACAATTTTAAAATAAAAAAATTTTAAAGTTAAAAAAAAGTAGAAATCATCAATCAGAACACAGAACTCCCTAATTTGAAAGACAAAGTTCCATTGCTTATTCTGAATCTACCAAACTGAATCAGAGACACAGACATGCTGCATGTTATGAGGTTGAACAATGGTGGATTTGTACCCACTCCTATGCTAAAGATTGAATGTGACTAGAATTGACCATAATTTAGTAGCCAGGCTTTACCCTAGTAGATATAAACATTAAAATAGACTCCAAAGTTCAAAAATAGCTACATCACTCTCTTCCAATACAATGGAGAGATGGATTCTTGATATTCCTGCTCTGCCATACTTCATGCTATCTCTCCTAAGCATTGTTTTTTAAAGTTTTGAAAACTCAATTTTTATGTAGATTTATTAGACTAAATATTGAAATGGGTAATCTTCCACAAACAGCTTTTGAATAAATTTTGATTGTAAATACAAGCATATTATGATCACTTGAAGCTTAAAATTGCATGTAATTTTCTATTTTATTTTATTTAACTGTTTTAACTAAAGCTAAAATGGAAAATTGTCCTTAGTAGTTTTTTAGAAAATGCTAAGTTATAATAAAAAATTTTATCAACAAAAATGATATTTTGGTGGAACATTATATAATGGACATTGCAAAATTTTTACTGCAATACAAAAAATTTCACTGCCTTTAAATAGAAGAATCATTACATAGCAATATTTCAGGAATCTAGGCTGTCACTTCCAGACTCAACCAGGGTCTCATCCAAAACCATTAAGTATAAGAAAATAGAGTCCCGAGTACTCTGATAGATGGAAATCACATTTTTTAATATGTTTTATTTTATTCTTAGTTAAAATATATGTATGCCTCAGATTTAAAACAAACAAAAAACAAGAACAAATCAGTTCAGGCTACATGGAAGATTTAAAACACAGAAAAAGGCTAACATAAAATAAGTGAGTAGTTTTAGCCCTTAATTTTTTAAATAGTCTGTAATATGTTTTCTTCAATTAATGTCACTTTTTAAGTAAGACAATGGTCAAGGATTTTTAACTTCCCTCTACTAATCTTTAGTTTTTGCTTTTGAAGCTATTCTGTTAATTTTTAAATTTTAAAACAGAAATCTTTAAATTTCTGTTTAATTATCACTAAAAATGCATTTACCTTTTTTTACACATGTGAGGTACATAATTAAAAAGACTTTCTTGAGTTTTAGATATCAAAAATTAAGATGATATGGTTTTCTGTGTAAACTGGGCATGAGCTGATGCAATCATGTTAGACAGCTCTTCTGTGAGATTTTTTTTTTTTGTTGAACCCGGAATAAATATCATAACTTCATCTTGTCCAGAACTCTGGATAAACTCTTCCAACTCCTATAAAGAAATCAGAGTTTTTAATATAAATGTTTGGTGCAACACAAATAAAATAGTTCCATAGTTTTTTCAGTGTCTGAATTATTAGGTCAGCCCTGTCTTTGCATATGTTCAACCATATTTGAAGGTAAAATATGACCAAAAATTAGGCAAATTAAAAATGATCAGAGCCGGGCTCGGTGGCTCAGCCTGTAATCCCGCGCCTTTGGGAGGCTGAGGTGAGTGGATTGCCTGAGCCCGCGGGTTCGAGACCCTCCTGGGCAGTGAGACCTCATCTCTACAATAAATCAAAAAATCAGTCGGGTGTGGTAGCGCATGCCTGTAATTTCGGCTACTTGGAAGGCTGAGGCAGAAGGATTGCCGGAGCCCAGCAGGTCGAGGCTGTGGTGGCCGGGAGCGGCCACTGCACTCCAGTCTGGGCAACAGAGTGAGACTCCAACTCAAAAAAAAAAAAAAAAAAATGAACAATGTTGGAGGATTTCTTGTGGCATGCTCTAGATATTTTTAAGGTCTGTGTGTGTCTGTGTTTATATTTATAAATTATTGACTACTCATTATGTTCTGTCATGTGCTGAACTATTTACATTGAACTAAATGTCA